AAAACGTTCCATTAAAGTTTGTGAATTTCCCTATTTTTTTTTTTGTTTTTTTTTTGATATAGAAAAATTTTTAGTGTTATCGAATGTTAAGTCGACCTCGTGGTCAATGTTTATTAATTAATAATGTTGATGCTTTTAAAACAATGGAAATTCGTCAAGGATCAGATATTGATGCAAGTAAATTAAAAAGTTTATTTGAACAATTGGGTTTTATTGTTATTGTTCGACGTAATCTTAATTATCAAGTTTGTTAAAAATTGATTAATGTTTTTTTTTTTTCATTATTACAAAAAATCTTTTCAATTTAGGAAATGATTAATGTAATAAAAAATTTTGCTGATTTAATTGAAGAAAATAATGATTCATATGATTGTTCAATAGTTATTATATTAAGTCATGGTGGTAATGGAAAAATTTATGCTATAGATGAACTTGCATTAGATGTAAGTTAATTGATCTGAATATATATATGAAATAAAAAAAAAAAAAAAAAACTTGTGTATTTCAAAGGTTGATGAACAAATAATATCTGTATTTGATGATCATTTAATAGGAAAACCAAAATTATTTATATTACAAGCATGTCGAGGATGTAAATTGTTTGAAAATTTCTTTTTTTTTTTTTTTTTTTGTTAAATAAAATTCTATTCATTTAGCACAATGTAATTATCGTTCAGAATTAATATCATCTAGTCATTTATGGTCAGCAGATAGTATTACAAATGAAAATAATCAAACAAATATTGATAGTGGTACTCATGTTATAACAAAAGTTCCTAAACGTAGTGATATGATTATATGGTATTCAACTTTAAAAGGTAATTTCTTTTGATATTTACAATAAAGACTTGATACAAAAAAAAAACAAAACGCAAATTGTTTACAGATTATGTGTCATGGAGACTACCGGATGAAGGTAGTATATTTATTCAATCATTAATTACAGTTTTTGCTCGAACAGCATGGTATTATGATTTAGTTACAATGGTTCAATGTGTAAGAAAAATTAATTAATTTAAATTTTAATTATCTATTTGAATCAATAGGTTAATCGAACAATGAAAGAAAAATTTTCAGCTCATGAATCAACACCATTTCAAACACCATGTTTTGAATATCATCTTGATTATGTAAGTTTATTTAAATAGAAATCAATTCGATTATATTTAATTTTTTTATCTATAGCCATTATATTTCAATCCAGGTTGTTTCGATCAAAATTAAAGATTATTTTGTCTAGTCAAATATGTTTATTATTATTATTATTTTTTTTTCTTAATAAAATCGACTTTATGTATATATTCATATAATGCAAGCATTAAATTATAAACACGATAATCTGGAATGATTGTCTTTTTGCTTTTTGTTGTTGTTTAAGAATAATCTAAATGTTCAATATATTTCTCTCATTAATTCAGAACATAAAATGAAATATTTCAGTTTTATGATTATAAAGAAATTTTCTTTCCATACAATCAATTAATACACAAGGCTACAGTTACAAAAGAAATTTCAATCGAAAAAAAAAAAACAGATTTTTTTTTTTTTTTTTTTATTCATAGATTTTATCAACGTACAATTAAGTATAAGAAATGATTTTGATTTTTTTGAAAAGTATTTATTCTCATGATAAATATTTGTAATTAAAGATCATGTCTCAAGAGAAATTACCTTTACACATTTTTTCTTTTTTTTTTGCATTTCATATGACCTCAAAGTAACTCTCTACACCTTCAACATAACTTTTCATTCATACATACACGATCAAGGTAAAGAAAAAAATGCGTGATACACACCCTCACAAGATAATGATCATACGAGAATACGATGTTCAATGTACGAGAGAAGAAGACACCATTAGTCATATGATTTTTTTTATTCGTAATTCAAGGTTATTTATCAACATGTTATGAACCTATTGACTATTTTCTATTTTTTTTTTCTTACTCATTGTATACTCAATTCTTTAATCTGTATAGATTGAAGTATTTGTCGATAATTCAACGTATTCATAAGTATACACCTATATTTAAGATAAACCAACTCAAGAAATGTATGGGATTAGAGATGTATAAACAATAATGAGTATCGATGAAAAGATAATTTATACATGTGAAGCCTTTTGTAATAGAGACAAAAAAAAAAGAAGAACGAAGAGAAATATCGTTCATTCTTGATGATGAAAAAAAAGTGATTTAGTATACCAGAAGCTTTACTTCTTCTATGAGATGTTGTTAAGTAAAAGATAAACGAAACTTTTTAAATGAATGCAAAAAGAAAGTGCGAAGCATTAAGTTACGTGAACGAAACCGAGGTAGAGAAAAAAAGAGAGAGAGAGAGACTAAGATATATATATATATATCTAGATGTTCGATCTTTTACAATTGTCCTCTGGTTGTAACGTTGTTGTAGACAGAGACAACGATAATGATAGTAGGCGACTGTATAATACTCAAAAGATAGACGAAGGAGAAAAAGATACATTCTTCACGAGCATACAGACAAAATGTCAAACGAGAACGAAAAAGAAAAAAAAACGAAAAAAGCGAACAAAGAAGTATGTATATCAATAGTTGAACCATTTTTAAGTGTCATTAGTATATGATCCTTACAACGTCGAACAATTCTATATTGATAATGTGATAGTATGTATATATTTATTTCTATTAACTCTAATGAACATATGAAAAGATAATTATCGATTATTATTATAATCTTTTTTATTTTTAGATATCATTGATAATTATTATTATTTTTTTTTTGTTGTTGTTGTTATCTCAATGTCGTGTATCAATAGTTCATTATCTTCACATATTTTCTTAAGTGATCTTCCATCATATGGTCTTATTGGTCTTATATCAATTGGTTTAATACTTTATTTATCTTATATTATAACTTATATAAGAAATAATCATATATCATCAACAATTTATATAAATATATCACAAATATCATTATTTTTTATTTTACTTTGTTCAATAACATTTCTTTTACGACCAATAGCATCAATAAATATTATTTGTTCAATACAAACAATTTCATTACAAATATTTCCTTTTTTTCTTTTACTTGGTTTTAATATACATTTTATTTATCAATGGTTATTACAAACAACAAAATATTCAAATAGAAAAATATTTCTTATATCAATAAGTTCATTTTTAATATTTTTTCTTTCAATATTAATACAAACAAGTATAATTCTTATATGGTTTTATAATTATAATAAATATCAACAAATTTTAAATATATGTAATATAAATGAATGTTATCGACCATTATTTCTTTGTTCATTATTATTTAATTTTTTTTTATTATTTCTTTTTTCATTTCAATCAAGTATACGTTATCATTTATATAATTTACAAAATGATTTTATCTATTTATTAATAAGTCTTCTTGCATTATGTATTACAATTACATGGATTTGTTTATATTTATATATACCATTAAGATCATCATTAACATTTTATATGAATAATAATTATATACTTGCATATGGAAATTTATTTCTTGTTTATACATTTCTTGGACCATTATTATTTGAACAACTTTTTTATCATCAAAATATTTCTAATAAAGATCATTTACATAAGGTATGAATATTTCAATAAAAATTAAATTACTTCCTTTCTTTTTTTTTTAGCCTAGTAAAATGACATTTAAATCTTTGTCCTTGACAAAAGAGCAGCAACGTGCATTCATGGCCGCATATATTAAACGTAATCTAACAGCATCATGTGAAAATTTAACAACGATAACTATTTCATCACCTATGCCAATAAATAGACAAATTACTCAAGAATCAAATCAAACATGTCATTCAACATTAAGTGTTGGTAGTTTATGTCCAACATTAGCTAGTACAGTTTCACATGATACACCACCAAAAACATTACAAATTATGACAACAGATTCATCAAGTTATGGAACAATGACAAGTGAATATTTACCTTTACCAATTTCACCGATCAATTATAAAATAAAATAATGAAATTAAATATATATATAAGAGACAATCATGACCGGTGGTGATTTAAAAAAAAAAATATTTGATTTGATTGTTAGAAAACGATTCAATGATATTTTCGTCGACTAATTAGAATTTCTTCATGTTTATTTACAAGAAAAATTTTTCTTTTTCGACTTAGTCAACAAGTTATAGTGTAATACATAAGAATTATGAATAATCATTATTTGTTTATTAAAGTTTATCTCGAAGTATGACAAAATAGTATTTGACAAAGAAAAAGATCAAATATAAGAACAAAAAAAAAAAAAGAAACATAATGATATAAGCAATTGATCACAATCTACTTTGAGTATTATACGAACAATTGAGCTGATTTTTGATTACAAAATACAATATATGTAGGTTCGTAGAGAAAGAATTTTACTATCTAATCATGTATGTATTATCAAGGTCTATTACATTCTGTTGAATTGTTAATAGGTAACCCTATCTACCTATTCAATGGATAGAGAAAGTTTTTTTTTTTTTTTATAAGCCTCTATATACAAATTCGAATTCATTACATCTACTGCGTAATTACACTATAACTTGTTGACATAAGGTTTAATTATTAAATTGTTATTTATCAAAAGAGAAAAGAAATTCTGTCGACGAAATCATATGATATTGTTTAGAGGTTGATATATTTTCACAAAATATTTGTAAAAAAGTTTAATAGTTTCAATAATAAAAAAGAAAATCTAAACACTCTTCGAAATGGGAGCAAAAATAAAAATAGAAATTAAAATTGAATGAATCTAATAAGAATATATATGTTCAAGATAAATTGTACAGTTTGTATTGAATTTTGTAAAAGCAAATAGCATTCAACGAAACATTAAAATCAAAAGTATATATTAGAACATTTCATGCAGAGATCACACAAAGGTCTCAAGTTTGAGAGTGATTGTATAAGACAATGTCTCATAGAACTAGTAACAACTTTAAAAAATTCTATCAAGTTATTACTCTATATATTTGAAATTGTTTAACGATTTGGTTTGACGAAATTGAGTAATTCAACTAAATATTCAAAAGAAAAAAACAACAGTTAAATAAGAAAATTTGATTTCAATAGAATTAACGTACTGGGAATGGGAAAAACAATAGTTGAATTTTTTTCTGCAGAAATTTGTGTTAGTGTTTGTAAATATCGTAATTGAAGAGCAATAGGTGATGCAGCAATAACATCAGCAGCTTCTTTTAATTGTCTTGATGCTCGTTGTTCACCTTCAGCAGCAATTACTTTTGCACGAGCTTCACGAGTTGCTTCAGCTTCAGCAGCCATTGATCGTTGCATTGATTGAGGTAAACGAACATCTGTACTAAAATAACAAACATACATTAACTATTGATTATAAAAAAATAGTAATTCTACATTTCAACACGTTCAACTTTAACACCCCATGGACCAGTTCCTTCATCAAGTTGAATTTGCATATTTTGTGCAATAGCTTCACGATCACTAAGAATTTCTTGAAGAGTTTTCGTACCAAGTATATTTCGTAATGTTGTCTGTGCAAGTAATTGTGTTGCTGAATGAACATTGTGTACTTTCGTTACACTAGCAGTCTATAAAGAATTTCTTCTTTATAATCATTTTGGTTATATTTAGCTATAGAGCTTATTGAATTTGAAAATTTTTTTTTGTATCTAGTCCACGACCAGTACAGTAGACTCTACTTACCGGATCTGTCACACGACTGTAAACAACAGCATCAACAGAGACTGTAACTGAATCACGTGTTAAAATCTAATATAATAAAAATTAAGAATTGATTGAAAATAAATATAGAGAATATGATGATTTACTTCTTGTGGTGGTACATTAAATGTAGTTGTTCGCAAATCAACTTTAACAATATTATCTAGACAAGGTAAAATAAAAAAAAGTCCAGGTCCTTTTGCACCACCTAAATGAAAAAACTTTTGCAAATAAAGTCAAAAACAAACAAAGAGAAAAATAATGAATAACCACTGAATATAACATATTCTTTTATTCTACCTTGTAAAATTCGTCCGAGACGAAAAATAACAGCACGTTCATATTCTTGAACAACCTTTCAAATAAAAATTAAATTGAATTTTTTCAATTATTCATATTTCAAACATTACTTTAATACAATAAAAAGTCGTTATTGGAAATGTAATTATGACTAGAATATAAGAAAAAATAATTAATATCCAAGCACATAGATCAAAACCATCTGACATTGTTGCTCTTTCATCTATCAATTCAAAAAACAGAAAAAAAGAGTTTTTTTTTATTTCTCTAAAATAACTAACTTCTATTATTTAACGAATAACTTTTCTCATTCAAAGATTCTGTTGTTGCCATATCGTACTATTAAAGTTCAAATATAAATTATTACTTCTATATTTCGTCGAAGTCGATAATGCTGTTGAAAAACTTTCTATTAATTATCAACAACGAATAAAGAAAAAAAAACACATTTCAAATTTTGATTCTTTTATTGTATGTTAAAAAGCTAATAATGAGCTCTGATGAAAGCCATAAAATGATGTCATACGCGCGCTTAATGTTTTTTTTTTCTATTCTATCATTCATAGTAATCACATATCAGAGTGTGTGAACTGAATATTTAATATCGTTTTATTTATCAAATACAAAGATAGCAAATAACATCAAAACAAAACAAACATGCTAATTACAAGAAGATATTAAGAATAATTATGTTTATTATTTTGTTTTTGTTAATTTATAATTGATTTACGTAGGACGTCGAACCAAATTGAGTAATTCAACTAAAGAATATAAAATAATTAATATTTATTTAAAAAAAAAACAACTAAAGTTAATTAAACATACCAGGAACTGGAAAAACAATAGTTGAATTTTTTTCTGCAGAAATTTGTGTTAGTGTTTGTAAATATCGTAATTGAAGAGCAATTGGTGATGCAGCAATAACATCAGCAGCTTCTTTTAATTGTCTTGATGCTCGTTGTTCACCTTCAGCAGCAATTACTTTTGCACGAGCTTCACGAGTTGCTTCAGCTTCAGCAGCCATGGATCGTTGCATTGATTGAGGTAAACGAACATCTGTACTAAAATAACAAACATACATTAACTATTGATTATAAAAAAATAGTAATTCTACATTTCAACACGTTCAACTTTAACACCCCATGGACCAGTTCCTTCGTCAAGTTGAATTTGCATATTTTGTGCAATAGCTTCACGATCACTAAGTATTTCCTGAAGAGTTTTCGTACCAAGTATATTTCGTAATGTTGTTTGTGCAAGTAATTGTGTTGCATATTGAGTATTTTTTACATTTGTTACACTAATTACCTACAATGATATAGAATGATGATATTTTATTTTATTTTTTTGTTTTTATATATTTACTGGATTAAAAACTCGACTATAAACAACAGCATCAACTGATACAGTTACTGAATCACGTGTTAAAACCTAAGAAAAATAATTTGATATTTATTAATAAATAAGAAAAAGAAAATTGTACTTCTTGTGGTGGAACATTAAATGTTGCCGTTCGTAAATCAATTGTAATTATTGTATCTACACAAGGTAAAACACAAAATAGACCAGGTCCTTTACCACCACCTGAAAGCAAACAAAAAAAAAAGAAATAATCAAATTTTTTAGTTCAATCAAATATCATACCTGGTAATATACGACCAAGACGTAGTATAACAGCTCGTTCATACTCTTGAACAATCTATTATAAAATATGAATTAGATTATATTTCAATAATTATAATACGAACCTTAATACAAAAACATAATGATAATGGCATTGTAATAATCATTAGAAGATAAGAAAGACCAATTAAAATCTGACTACATAAATCAACACTATTTTCTGCTGCTAAATATACAGAACAAAAAATCACTATACATATTAGATGGTATTAAAAAAAAAGTATAATACCAACTTTCTTTTTTCTATAACTAGACGAACTATGTTTGCAAGGTTTTCAAAAAACTGAACACAGTAGTTTTTAGGTTTCAGAAGACTTTGCTGAAGCTATTTTGTATAGAGCACAAAATAAAAGATCGTTACATTTTCTACTCTTTAAAACAGGATGGTTAGTAAATAGCTTATCGGAACTGAAAATTACTGTGTCTAATTGTTTAAAAACCTTGTCATCGTAGTTCATCAAGTACAGAATCCATTAGATGAAAAACTCCATGAAGTATTACTATTCTTTATGATATTGAGTTGATATTTCTATAGAATTGCTTTTTACGTTAGAAAAAAAAGAAACAAACAGTAGTAGCTTGTGGTATAACTGATAAAAACATTTTTCTATGCATATTACTACTGCATGTGTTTCTCACAAGAGAATATATCATCATTCCAGTACATAAGAACGAATGGACAGTCAGTTGGTGCTTGTAATCAAGATTTATTATGACATGCATAAACCCAAAATGTCAGCGTAATATAATAAAGAATAGTAGCACTTCATAGAAGATAGTTATACTATTATCCAGTACTGTATATATATATTTAAACATATCAACATACGTGTAGTATCAGCCGTTGTTGGATGCATATGAGCTAATAAAACAAACTTATGCATATAAAGAAAAAAATCTTAATAAAATATAAACTTACATTCGATAATAGCTTCATCTTTTGGTGTTGATCTTGTAGCCATTGTATTTTATGTTCTGTATCAATAATCTTTTATTTAAAAAAAAATAAAAAAAACGAAAACAAATTGATTAAGTCAATGTTATTTTTTTCTGCTATACAAAAAATGAATTACTCTCTACTATAGATAGTAGTTTTTTTAAGTGGCAATGCATAGAGAAAATTAACATACAAACATTTATTCTATATATGTGCGTCTTTGTTTTATTTTTTTGAACAATAACAATTACATGAACATGTTTTCTTTCATTCAGAAAAAGAAGATAGATGACCTAGACTCGTCGCGGAAATGAATGCTAGACTATCTTAATAGAAAGAAAAATAATCTATCACACATTGACCCTGACCTCGACCCAGCGAATAGATGATTAACTCAATTCGATTGTATCGGACAAGCAACTAAATAGAAGATGAAGAGAAGGGAAGAAAAAATGAATATCCTATTCCATATTTCATATATAACAGATGTGTATTGTTTTCTTTTTTTTGTGGTAGAGGTCATTCATAAAATCTTGATCATTGTTGATCTCGAAAAAAATAAGCAGACAAAAATTTGATTATAAAAATACAGGAATGAGCTTGTTGAAAATGACGTTTTTTCTCACTCTGATATTGATCTTTATAAAATCAAATTACAATTAAAACATTGCTAGAGGCTTTAATAAGTTGATAATTGAAAACAAGAAATACATAAATTGAAATGATATACGTTTATCAACAATAGAAAATATAACTTTCCTATTGTCTATATATATTTAAATTTCTCAAACAATTGTAATAAAAAAAAGAATATGTCTTTTTCTTTTTTAATTATGAAATCTAATTTTTGTCTAACGAGGGAAAGGCACTAACTGTTCAATCGCTTTTGAGCCGAGACTATGTGCATTATGTAGACCCAAATGAGTTATGAATACCCTGAAAACAGTTCGGGCCGCTAGCTTATTGCTACGGAGGTAGTGCACTTTTACAGTATTTTTAAATAAATGCCGTGGTCCCCCTCAGGAATACAGAAAAACTGATTTTCGAATTTCGACTTGAAACTTTGGATAGAGACAGACCTTAATGAGAATAGTTTGCTGTGAATATTTCAGATTTTTTCACCCTTTCTATCCTAGAATACAGTTATGAATAACTTGTCGATATAAACTGGCAGATTTGATGTTCTTATTTTAGGATAGAAGCAGATGAAAACAATCTTAGAAACATTCAGAATAAACTATTCTGATTAAGGTCTGTCTCTATCCAAAGTTTCAAGTCGAAATTCAAAAATCAGTTTTTCTGGGATCCCTGAGGGGGACCACGGCATTCATTTTTAAAGAATACTCTAACAGTACACTATCTCCGTAGCAATAGGCTAGCGGCCGGAACTTTTTTCAGGGTATTCATAACTCATTTGGATCTACATAATGCACATAGTCTCGGCTCAAAAGCAATTGGACACTTGGGACCCTTCCCTCGTAAGTTTATTGTATCTAAATTAAGACTGACCTTTTCTTTTTTTCTTAATACAAAACTGGTATCAATGATATATAAATACTCGAGAGTTTCTATGTATAACTTTCAAATACAGAAAAGAGTATCATTTTAGATAGTAGATCTATGCCAGATAATGAATTTATCTCAAGAGCTAATTGATCGATAAGATGAAGTTAAATAATAATAATCATCACCTTGTCTGATCAAAATAATTCGATTAAAAGATACTCCACCTCTTTTGGTTCTCCACAAGAATATAAACAGTCGAGTTCAAATTTTCATCATTGTCAATAATCTAGTTACGGGAAAATTTTGAGTCCGACTTTTTTATGACAAGTATTTATTGCACACTTGAAAATGATAGATCAATGTTCTCTTTTATATAGATATATATATGTTTCAAATCACCTGTATACGAATAATTTCTATAAATAGTATAAGATAATTAGATCATATCTCATGTATTTAATCTATGAGAAAATTTAGAGTTTGACAAGGAATGTTGAATTCTTTATTTAGAAGATTTTCATTAATTATACAATCAATTCATTCTTTTGAAATGAATCATTGAAACAAAAAACAGAAATTTTTCCTTTAAATCGATTGAGATAATTATCATATATATATATATTTGGTTTTATTTTTTGACTTTTTCTATCATTGAATGACGATCAAAGAATGTGCAAATCAAATTCATCTTCTTTTCTTTTGATTTTCTATCTTTCATATAAAAATGATTGACAACAATCTGATCTATATGAATACATTCTCTCAAAATAGAGACGATCATAGTGATGTCACCGAAATAATTACAAGGCTCGTAAATATGCATATGTGTGAAATTGTTGTTTGCTCAACACATGTGCACGGGAAAAAGAGACAAACATTTAAAATATCATCAATTCTTATTCTAGCTCATTAACGAAAGAGAAAAAGAGAAGAAAAAAAAAGAAAACGAGACATATTTATACTATTCGCCTGATAAGTCATAGACACATCCGGTTACTGTCAACATGTCTTCACGAATTCCTCTACAACTATTATCAACGAATACACCTGATTATTCTTCTTCTTCTCCTTCTTCTTGTGTAATGTATGAACCATATTGTAATTGTTGTTATTATGAAAATCAATCGATATATATGGAAAATTCTTATCAAACATCTTATATGGATTTTAATTCAAATTCAAATTCAATATCAACATCAATATCAAATGATTCAAAAAAGAAATCAACAACACGTCGATCAAAACATATTCCACATCATCTTCGTCCACAGCATATTGTTGAACGACGTAATAGACGTGAACGATTACGTGTACAAGATGTTAATCAAGCATTTTATATGCTTCAACAACTTTTACCTATTGATTCAAATTCAACAACAATAAGAGCAACAACACATAATAATGATAATAATAAAGAACAATTGAATATGACACAAAATTCATCTCGTATATCAAAAGTTCGAACACTTCGTAAAGCTGTTGATTATATTGAAGCACTTCAACAAATGTTAAATGAAAATAATTAAATATATTTCGTTTTCTCTTTTCTTTTTATTTTCTTTTACTTAACGATTAGATTTACATTGTATCTGTAATTGTATATCAAATAAATTAAAATGAACATAATTCTAAAAAAAAGCAGAGTTCGTGCTCTTAGCTTATTGCTATGGGGATATTGCAGTGATGTGGTATTTTTTTTTTGAATTTCGACATACTCTCGAATCAAAAGCAATTTATCAATCAATGATGGTAATAAAATGAGTATACATGTTGTTGAAAACTATTTGATATTGATAATTGAATATTTGTTAAAAGGAAAATACAAATTCCGAAAGTTATCACCACTGATTCAATCAGTTCATGTAGAAACATCGAACACCAATCAGTAGGAACGTTTTTGTTATAGATCTGTCTGAATAATATAAATTATTCGTCCAAGTCTTTCACTTTACTAGAACTTTGAAATATGCATTGCAATAGGTCATTATTCACATCTTACAATAAAAGAGGTTCATCATAGGTTGGTAAATTCTTTCATATTGAGACAAAAGACTGTATATGAGTGAACTACAATATTATTGTACCATTTTTGTGAAAATAACGAACAAAACAAATCTTTCGATTTGAAAGATAATAAGTTGTGCATTTTATTGTAAGACTATTATGTGGATATAATAGATATATTTCCTTCGACCTTAATTATGAAATATTATACATCATAGTATCACCTTGCGTGACTCATTTGAACTATTTTTTTCTTATGAACCATATGTCTTGTGATATTGATATTGTCAGTGGCAGTTCATCACAATAAATTGATAAAATGATCTAAGTCACAACTCAATTTTCAGTACTATTAGAAAGTTATATGTCAAGAAAAATAAAAATATCTTGCGGGACATTCAATCTGTCAAGTGAATTTTTAAGTTTTGCTGCATAGTTATGCTTAACAAGGAATAATACAATTTTCTCATCCTTTTTTATGAATTTATCATCCATACGATGGCTTTCATTCTATAATACCTCGATTGTTTTTACTGAAAATTGAATAATGAGTGATGATGAAAGACTCAGAAACAACTATAAGAAAAATCATGATAAAAATGCCAATTATTTTCATATTCAAAAAGTCTCGACTGTTTATTGTAATTATATGTAATTTAAAAATTTAGACTAAAGGTTCAAGGGTGTGAGTGTGAGGTGTCGATGAAAGTAATACATATGCTAACACCCGCATATAGATCATAAGTGAATTGAAATTCGCATGTTTGACTTAGTACATGTCAGTGATTTTAGTCGATTTTGATTTTCACTCACCTTTCCTATTTTCTCAAGACAATTTAAACATCTACTGTGTTCAATGTGTATGCATGGTAGACAATGCAAAGAAAATTATGACTATTTGAGTCGTCTGGAAATTCATCACTGTGTTCACGTTCTCAGAATTAAAATCCTGCTATTCTATTTATTCTAAAATGACATTTCACCTCCTAGTTTAGCATAATTAATGAATGTGAATAGCTCTAATTATCTTACAAAGGATCGGAAAGGTCAAGAAGACGAACTATGTGAAGTTAGTCGTGCTACAAAGTCTGGTGCTCGTGTGAGGCCACCTCCAGCCGCTCCGTACTGCACATGAATTCCTGGAAACGGTTCAATCCAAGTAATCTGTCCATAACGACAAACTTGTCGATTGCAACCATGAACAAGGAGCGGTTCAATTCGACATGATTCTCCCAATGTTTTTCGTATTGCAGCGACTAGACCGACAGCAACCGTTCCGTCATAGTTGGCAGCACTTTCATCGGAAACATTCGGTGTAATACAGGCACCGCCGGTAAATCGCATCAAATATAAATTGTAAAGTTTTCCCTGTGAATCTTTCACTTGCACAGGATTTTCTGATAATTTCGTCGCATCATTTGTTTCACCACAAACCAAAACAGAAGGCAATCGATATTCCAAGGGTACGTAGACATGTGCCAATACTGATACTCCTCGAGCTGCAATAACCTCAAACAAAGGTCTATTATTTTTGCTAATAATTGGCTGATTACCTAGCGATAGAATTAAGCGAGAAAATGGGAGATGATGTTTTTGACCATCAGGTGTGTCATATTCAGCTACACCCCCTGATTGCTGATCGTCAACATAGATTGTAGTGAGTGTTCCATTAATAAATTTGCCACCTTGATTTTGAATAAAATCACTGAGCATCTTCATAAAGTTCGAGAATATGACTCTATCATGTTGTTTTTCGCCAAACATCAGACCATTGGGAATGAAACCATAACGTTGAAGCATTTCTTCCTTAGATAAAATCCTGAAAGTTCTTCCTTCGTTTTCTAAAGCTTCTTTTAACGCTTGTAGTTCTGAAATTTCTTCACTAGTTCGAGCAACCCAAATTGATCCTTTTTCGGCCAAGAGAAGTTTACCATCCAATTCCTGATTTAAACACTCGAAAAATGTCTCATTTGCAATACATTTTGCAGCGACTTTTTTCAACATTGTCGTTCGATCTTCAAACATAGTGAAAAATTGAAAACCTAATACTATTTTAAGTCCAATAAGCCAATGATCAGGATGTCGTAGCCAACCGATCCAGTCCAACGTTCTCCATGGAAAGTGGCCGGTTTGCTGAATCGATGCGTAACTTACATATCCAAATATCGCACGACGAATTTGCTCGACTAAGAATTTCGTAGGTCGATAGGTAGTGGGTGCTTCTGATACCGCATCTTGTTCCAAATGCCAAGCAGAACCAAAAACGATTGGTATTCGTCGTTCATCATTGATATAAGTTAAATTTTTTTCAGTTTTCATCATAGAGACACCAGCAACTAATGCTGGGGGACCGCCAACGACGAGTGTTTTCTGATTACGAAGGGATGATGAAAATTCAATAGGACATTCTGTAAACGGTCGAACCTTGACAGGGGTCTTTAAAGCATATTTTTGCTGCAGCATATCACGATTCGTATGAAATAAATGGGAGAATTGTGAAAAATGCTTCTGAAAGAGTTCTAATTCATGTAAATCGGAAGTAATATATGGCTCGTGCATTCCAGAGAAAATATTTCTTTTCTTTTGTTGATGTGAATGATATGAAAACGCATCATGCACTTGAATATTATCATTATATCGTAGTGTAGCATTGATGATCGTTACAGTTGTGACCCCGAAGACACCCAAATAACCTAGTGATCGACACCATGATTGACGAATACGATGAAAACTTGACATGATCTTGTTTCATTCAAACTTTTTCACATTGAATGGACTGCCTGTATCCAGTAAAACGATCCTGAAATGAATAACGTTCTATCCAATATTTTTTCATTTTTTTAAAAATAGTCCGCTATTGATAAAAGAAATGGCCCTTCTTATCTCAAAAAGAAGTTGAAAAATGAGGCAATGCTAACTGCGCGTGTTTTATCTCTAAAAGTGGTAGACGATGTTTTAAACAAAGGTGAAAAGAATATTATTGCTTAATAGTTTTGCGGATTTTTCTTTTTTCCTTGATGATCATACTAGTAGAAAAGCATTCTGCTTAAGGTTGATGTAATATTTCTGTTTGAGTCTATTGTGTGCCATTATCTACTCTCATTATTTGGTTGCAATGAATGCTGATACCTAGTGTTTAACCTTCCCTTGTCATCTTATTCGCCTTGACTCTTCTCTCCTTCTTTCTTATCTCTCCTGGTTGCGTATATAAACGTGTACTCTTGATATAAACGATACGATTAATGGCGCAAAGAGCCCAAATGAAGGGTAGCTTCATCAGTGCTAGTAACTCTTCTATCTGAAATCGTCGCAGGTGACATAACCTCAACAGGGTGGAGGCCAGCACGTACCAAAAACATCGACAAATAATCATGAATGCTTGAAAATTGCCGAAGCACTGAAGAAAGTTTTTTTTTTCATTTTCTGACGATTTTTATCATGATTTTATGCGTCTATAGGTGCCAGAGATACTGTCACTAGAGCACGGCATCAAACTTCGAAACCCAACTCCGCCAGAGTCGGAGTTGATGTTAACTATAGAAACTCCGAAAATGCTGTTTTAATCTTTTCTTAGGTAGCATTTATCTTTCAGAATTATAAGGTCAAGTAAACGAAAACTTGAGGATGTGGATGTAAATATGTGTTTCCTCCATACCCATACCTACCCTCTACAATGTAATTCAATACCCCTTTCTCTACCACATGATCGCTGAATCAATGAAACCACCCTTCTCTAGTAGGGGTGGCACTTTAACTTTATTTTACTTTACTTTATTGAGTAAAGGAGATCTACTTAATCCGAAAAGTAAAGTAAAGTAAACTGAAGTATCTCTAGCTTTACCGAGCAAGTAAGGTGTAATAAAATAAGAAAAGTAAAGCATATAGTTGATGGTTATTGATTTATTAGTTTATTATCAGACATTAATCACATTTTAATACATCAAAAGTTGTGTTGAATTACGAATCGAAGGCTTCGAAAAATTTGAACCTAATTTTATTCCATTGAGAGTCAGCATTGAACCCTGAATATTTTTCACAATTTTATTTTCTACTTTATCACAGCCCAACTTTTCATACATGGGGTCGCCATCAGGAATCGAAAATAATTTTTTTTCGCTGCTCTATCACAAGTCTTTAAAATTCAATAGTACCAAGTGTACTGATTATAAATATCTCATTTGTTTTCAAATGTACTCAGATAATAAGAAAGATTAAAAGCACTCCATAGCACCATTGAAAACTAGCTTTTGTCCAGAAATTTCACTGAAATACGACCAGATTCGTTTCATCGAGATCGAAATGGAGTTGACTTGATCAAAAATTCGTTTTCTAACGACACATACATTGGGTAAACCTTTTCGTAGCTAATTTTTATGAAATATGCATTATTTAATGGGTTAGCCCAAGGTTGACTAATGGGTTAACCCACAAAACCTACCTGAAACTTTTGGCTAGTATTTATTTGAGCAATTAAAAAAATGAAGTGAGCAATAATGAAAATACGAATTAGCAATAATTGTTGAGCAATAAAAAAAATGTTTTTTGAGCAATTTTGTATTATGAAATGGACAATAATTAATTCATTAAATTGCAGTAAGAAATTTATATTTGAGGAAGAAGAAATTTATATATGAGCAAGAAAAAATTTATATTTCCATAACAAAAAATTATTGTGTGACCAAAGCTTTTTTGGTTTCAGATGGTCTGCCTCTCTTTCTTTTTGTACCAATTGCTACATTTTGGGTGTGGGTGCGAGTGTTCTTCTGATCTACCATCACATCAGAACCAACAGCCACAGCTCACACCACACCCACACCCTGCTATGTAGGACGATTTTTTCTTGAATTTACCTAAATTACACAAAGTCTGTAGTTATATCAATATCGGATTGATGATGGAGGTAATCTAGGTATCTCTGTCGTGTTTTTTTCCGTGTTCCAAAAGTTCACTTCTACCAAAAATTGAAAAAGAAGGAAAAGAAGGATTTTACGACAAAAAGAAGGACAAATAAAGACGCTTCAAGAAAAGCAGGAAAAAAAGAGGAAAGAAGGATTGCTGTGGGGCCTGGTCGAATTACATCGGCCGATTTGGTTTTACTGGGAGAATTTCACTCAAACCTTTTTTCCTAAAGATAGAGTAAGTAAATATTATTGCTAAGTATTATGTTTCGTATGATAAAAGAAATTCGATCTATTCTCATGTAAAATAATACATATAGAATATTTCGTAGATGGTTTTCAGTTTTCAAACAGGAAAATAATAAGAAAAGTCGAAGCAAGCTTTGTGTATAAATCTTTATTAATATACGCTGAGCAAATTCTCAAAGCTAGTCACTTTATATTCTAAAATGTATTTCCCATAGATAAAATACAAAATTGTGCACCATTTCGAGTATTAACCTCTTGGATCCCGCTGTCTTCAGACTGAAGACAAGCAGGACAGGCGAAATCGACCAAGTTTGACAAATGAAAATGATTGGTTGGAACTTTTACAGAAAATCCTACGAATTTTTCTACTTCGGAAAATGCCAAAACTGTCCGGTGCTCCTTCAGCATTCTCGAGATATTCCTTAATCTAGTTCCAAATTATTGTAAAACTAGCGCCATCTGTGTTACATTTTTGTTAATATCTCCAGAATGCTGGAGGAGCACCAGGCAGTTTTGGCATTTTCAGAAGCAGAAAAATTCGTTTGATTTTCTGTAAAAGTTCCAACCAATCATTTTCATTTGTGAACCTTGGTCGATTTCGCCAGTCCTGCTTGTCTTCAGTCTGAAGACAGCGGGCTCCAAGAGGTTAAACAATCAGCTTTCTTGCAAAAGTCACTATTTCATTTTTGATCCTTCAAACTTTCGCGTTCAATCACTTCTTAATTAAGGGGCTGGTGTGATTGTGAGTGTGGGTGTCGTTAGAGATGAAAAGAATACTCACATGCACATGCATCCTTATAAGTCGATTATTATGGCATTATTCGAGTGATATTTTCATAGTGCCATCATAATCGAATTTCCATATTGTCTTACAGACTTGTTGTGCATGTGCTGATTGAGAATTGACAAATATACTTGAAATTAGATATCTGCAATTTTTTTTACTTACTAATAAATTTACATAAAATAGTTTTCATGATACGAAAAATAATCGTTAACAATAATATTTGGTAACTTTATCTGTGAGAAAAAGAATGTCTGAATAATACTCTGGCTCTAAAAATTTCAGCCACTTAATTTGTTGGATGCGGAGACATCATGTTATATTTTTATGGTAGAGCTGCCATAGGTCACTCTGAATCGGCACAAATCGCCATTTTCGGTGATTTAATCGCTATATAATCTCACGATTATCGAGCTGATAAATTGCGATAAAATTACCGATTTTTGTTGCGATTTTGACGACATGGATTAACATAACAGTTTAAGTTTCTCTACTGAAGACTTAATTCACCTTAAATTACATGATTGTTTGAGAGATAGGTAGTGAATAACATTTAAGATCATTGTTTTTTCTCAAGAAAACAGTTTTTTATTCTCTGAAATTAATGCTTTTTTTAAAATGAACTTTGATAACACAATGTGTTAAATTCAATTGGAGGATATACGTATGTGAAGGGTATGATACATCCAATTTTTTGAATTTTCAAAACCATCCAGGTCTTTAAATTTTTTCTTATTCATCTCGATACATTCTTTCTAATTATGCTTGATTTAAACATAGAGGGATTTTTGAATAAGTTCAGTTCTTCTTATCTATCGAGAATAGTTCTTTGATAACTTCATCTTCATAATCACTACCAATAAGCAAACATACCTAAATATTCTATTGTCGAAGTACAATTGACATTTGTGCATCTGGTAGGCAAAACCTGTGAAATTGTGTCATTCAAAAAAACTGGATGTAGTAATGGATATAGATAAACGTCAATGAGGTTTTAGGACTCCATTCATTTTTTTCTGGGATACTTGACGAATTAGTTTTATTTCCTTATTCATTTTAATTGAAGTCGTGCCAATCGAATCAAATCACAACAGCACTATATTCCAAGACAATCAGGGATTTTCATTTGTGAGAAAAAAAAATGTGAGTACATGAATTCATATCTACCAACGGGAAAGTGAACTTCTTCTTCTTCATTTAGGTCATACATACATACCAAACAACCTGTGGCTATTCCAATCAATAATATATTCAATGTCACTGACGATGAACGCATTTACAACATCTTTAAATATCGTTGTTGTTCAGCTTTTGGGCCTCGAACAACTGTTGCATTGAGTGGCAATCGATTGATAGTTCGTAATAAGAATAAATGCTGTATGTGTACTAGAGGACCTAGTATTGATACAACTGTGTTCTTACAAGCTATTGATCTGTTGCGTAACAGTAGACATTGCTCGAAGCTCACCATACTTCTTAGTTTATTGAGCTGCACATGGCCATGTCTGTTGTGTACATTGTGCTGTGGACCAGCAATGCTTGAAATTCGAGGTGCCTTTGGCGAGGAAACCTTGGCTTTCAGTTCGGATCAGGTGAATGAAGCAGCAATTCAAATAACCAAGTCGATTGTGGATGCAAAGCGTAAAACAATATCACAACTTTCAATGACTGAATATATGTAATGTAACTCTATTTTTTCAAATTCAAAACCGAACAACCTCATATTAACATACAATTTAAAAAATGACTGTAACAAGCGTCTTTTCCCAAACATTTTCATCTCTTTTCGCTGTTTGATTTCAACAATA